ATCCCTTAACTGCTTCAGAAGAAAATTATTTTGTAGCCTGGGACTTGCTAAAACAACGTTGTGATAGGCCACGCGTAATTGTTCAAACGCATATTAAATCACTTCTTGATATTCCTGAAGTTTCTAAGGAATCTCCGCAAAGTATTAGGGCTTTAATGGAAAAATCATTAATGCATGTTAACGCGTTAAAAGCATTAAAACTGCCTATAGATTCATGGGATGCAATATTGGTATTTATTGTTACCCAAAAATTAGATAAGTGTACACGTCGAGCATGGGAGAGAACCCTTGAAGTTTTACAGCCTTTTTATAGTCTTGAAAGGGAATTATCAAAAGATTTACCAATAAAGAAACAATTTAATAAAGCTATTCAACAATATTTAGATTTAGATCATATGAGTGAAATTACCAATAACGATAATAAATTAGTGGATATTATATCTCGAGGGCAAACACCTTTGAAATTATTTCATAATAATCTTTGGCTGCATAGTCCTGCTTGGTTGTTACAACCAGAGTGTAAGTGGAACAACTTACAATTATCAAACATTGTTATTCCTGAATTACGCATTAAAATCTTATTAATTGTAAGTGATAAAGTAGATAAACGGGAATTTAAAATTGATGTTTTAGATAAATTCTCATCAATAACTGTCTTTAATAGATTTGTCGCACTGTGTCTCAGGCTCATTATTAACAAACGTTTGCTTGATAAAATTAAAGGAAAACTTACTGTTGCTGAAATAATCAATGCGCATAAGCAAATAATTAAAATAATTCAAATTTTTTATTTTCACAAAGAAATTAAAGCATTAAGAGACAATAAAGAATTAAATTCGAAAAATGAAATTAGGTGCTTAAATCCTGTTTTAGATTCCGATAATATTTTACGTGTAGGTGGTAGGTTAAAACATGCAACAATTCATTTTAATCAGAAACATCCAATTCTGCTACCCCGCAACAATTTTATCACAAATTTAATTATACGAACCGAACACTTAAAAAATTGGCACACAGGTGTACAAACTACGTTAAATTTTGTAAGGCGAAATTATTGGCCAATTAATGGCAAAAATCCTACAAGACTTATAATACATAAATACATTCAGTGCTCTAAATTAAAACCAAAATCATCGAACTACATAATGGGTGAGTTGCCGAAGTCTCGACTTACGCAGTCTAAACCATTTGTAAAGGTAGGGATTAATTATTGTGGTTCGTTTCTCTTAAAGGAAAGAAAGTTTCGTAAAAAGAATAAGATAAGGTCATATGTAGCAGAATTTGTTTGCTTTGCTACAAAGGTGGTTCATTTAGAGCTCGTTATGGAACTAACGACTGAAATGTATTTGGAAGCTATCAAACGTTTTATTGTAAGGCGGGGTAAACCAAAAAACATGTATTCCGATAATGCTACCAATTTCATAGGAGCAAGGAATGAAATTGCAAAAGCGAGGGCATTTTTCTTATCACCTGAAAACAATAGCAAATTATCTCATTATCTTGAAGACGAAGGAATTAATTGGCACCTTTCGCCGCCACGATCGCCTCATTTTGGAGGACTGTGGGAGGCAGCCGTAAAATCATTTAAACAGAATCTATATCGCACAGTAGGGCAAACATTGTTTACGTACGAACAATTCAATACATGTATAATACAAATTGAATCAGTCTTAAATTCCAGACCCTTAACCCCCTTATCATGTGATCCTAACGATTTAGCTGCCTTAACCCCTGCCCATTTCCTGATTGGGGATTCTTTAACGAGTATACCGGAACAGGATCTGACAGAATCACCTGTCAATAAATTATCATTGTGGCAATGGAGTCTCCCACGCATCGTCGAACTTCATCCTGGGCAAAATAGTGTTGTGCGTGTTGTGACCGTAAAAATAAAAACAAAGTGTACAAAAGAATTGCTAAAAAATTATCACCCTTGCCAGTAGAATTTAATTGAACTAAATACTTGTTTGTATTACACTAGTATTTAAGTAGCTATTTTTCCTATCATTCTATTCTATTATTCTTAGTATTAATTAGTGTTCAAATATATAAGTAATGGTTTAAATTTTGAACGGAGTCGTTCAAGGCGGGCGGCATGTTGCATCTCATGCAATAAATATTATATTATTTTATTATTCGTAGATATTTTGGTATAAATTTAAATTCTATAGCCGGCGTGAGAAAGGCATTTTGTTTATGATGTTTAAACTGCTATTCAATTCTATATTATTTATTTGTGAAGTACCGTCTGTTATAAAACTTTGTATCTTTTGTTAGTCACGTTTCATGGTTATTGGTGTAGTTTCCAAATTTTATTTTTCCGAAATATTTATAGAAGTACCTGGATAAGGGTAATAACCTTGTTGCTAGCGGAACCGTTTTTGCACCCCCAAACAATGCTCGCTACGCCCAGTTAGGGAACTAGTTATAAGTATATTTAAGGGTCGAAATCATTCATTAACAAGCATTCATCAACAAGCATTCATTATCATCATTCGCAACCAATAACTTTCACACATTAAAATTGAGATTCTCAGAGCTACCTAGATAATTATAATTGTTATATGTATAAATTAAGTGTTAAGTGTTAATAATTAAATATTTTACAAAACTATCGTCTTTTACAACTTTTTTGAACTGGTTACTCGCTATTAATTTGGCGTTTAACGTGAGGATACCAGAAAGTATTCTTTCATCATATATTTATTTCCTCACAACAAAAAACAGATGTATATAATATGTTCCAGCCGGTATATATATTTCAGGCCATGTTTAAAAGGACCAGTCCGCAAAAAATAAATCGAATATATTAGTCAGCCTGTTAAGAAATTGTTGGTAATTGTGTAGATGTTGAGAACCCTCTCGAAATGGGGTGAAAAGGCAAACGTGTTGACCTTGTGGAATAATAGACAAGTGTTTGTTGGTATGGACAAATGAGTGAAGGCACAAAAGATGGAACTAAAAAATCAAATATTAGAAATTAAACTACGGTTGCCTAACCCAACCGTAACGTTTCCCATTCTAACCTAAATAGATACCTAAAGTAAGGTTGAGGTTGGAGTAGATTATTTATCTTAGGTTACAATTAGTTACCATTTCGATATTTACCTCCTCTGCTTGCGCCTCCACATCTCTTACTCACTAATATATTCAATCTGTTTACTGTATATTATATAATAATTGAAGAAATTCGACTGAAATTACGATCCATAACAGGTAAGCCTCCGTCAGATTTGCCGAGTTTTACCCACCATAAATTAATAGGTACATGCGGCTTAGGTAACTGCATTACAATATAAAATGCTGATTTATGAATTCATAAAATGTCTCACAGTCAGTTAATGTTAACTAAACTATAATTAGAAATACCTATTACTTGATTGCTATCATTAACTACACCTATCGTTATATTAGTATGCTACCTTTGAAGACCCTACACTGATTTTCCATTTGATGGTATTTAAAAATGAAAAATAATTAAATAATTTGCGGTTCTTTATGTTTATTAATCTATTTAAGAATTTCGACTGTTATAAATAAACTAAAAAATACTCGCCCAAATTACCATCAAAACTTTTCACTGGAGGCGCGTAATTCGTGGATTCCACGATAAGTATGAATTGAGATTTGTAAGCATTAATAAATCAATTATTCTAGTAACTTCATAACATTACGTTGTTTTGGTTTAAAAAAAAGCCTTCGTTCGGATTTTAATAAAATGTAAACTCAAAGTGAACAACATTGACCATGCCCCTAAATTAACGCTGACAAAATTCGACTGATAGTTTATACAGAACAATATCTCTATTTACATGTTGTTTAATAGATTCAAAGAATTTTGTTTTTGGTTAACCGCGAATTTTAATGATTTTCTGATGGGATTTATCTGAGGTATCTCCAAGAATAATCGAACTTTCGATGTAAACAGGAATTTTATTTTGTAAAGTGTTACAAAATTGGTTCACAAAAAGGTACCTGTTGAATCGAAGTGTAGATTAGTATTTAGTTTCTAAGTAAACATTAACAATTGAAAAACAATTTTAACAATATTTGATTAATAGTAACAACAATCTTTATTAGGTTAGGCAACTAAAAGTTTCTGAAAATTGACAAAATAACATCTTGAAATATGACATGTGCAACAACAATTTATCATCCCAAAAATATGCTTCTTCCATACAATTAAAAATTCATACCTTTTTGTTCCTTCTATAGGACTTAATTTGACAAGCAAAAAACTCTATTTGTTTTTAACGTCGATTGACAAATATTCTTTCAATTTCTCGCATATACAATTTTGAGCACAATTCCACGTCGCCTTTCTGGCTTTTTTTTTCTTAATTTCAACGTTAATTTGTATTAGAAAATAGTCTCATTTGCTGCCAACACTTTTTTACTTTTGAACAAAATTACTAAATTTGGACAATTCTTTGATTTATCTCAACATTTTCATTTATTTGATTACCTGTAGAGTTTATTTATGTTGGAGGCCGACAGTTCTTGTTTTAAGTAAAATTCTGTTTGTATTTTATAAAAGACTTCAGAAATTCTTTTGTCTGTTTCAGATGGAATCAGGAGAAACGTTATTTATGGACCAGCGTTTTGTTCGGAGGGCTTAGCATGCTGGCAAAGGAAACTGGGATAACAGTGTTTCCTCTAAACTTGGTGTTTGACATGTATCTTTCTTGGCCAAGCATAAAAGAGTAAGTATCCATAAACTAAAAGTCGGTGGAAATATATCTTTTCTGTTTATTACATGTATTAACTGCGCTGTTTTGTACAAATCCTAAATAAAATCCTTTTAAGTAAAAAATTAATCAATTTGACGAGTTATTTGCAGGTTGAATGATTGAAACAAAGAATAACGCAGGCTCGGGTAACTTTTAACAAATCGAAATTACTCATTCGCTCGTGATTAGTTAATTTAGAAATTCGAAGACGATTACCAAAGGTATATGTTTGAAGCACAGTTCTGTATGAGTATAAAGCATGGACAGTGGGAGTTAAAGAAAAGAAAAGTTACAGACATTTGAATTGTAGTTTTATAGGAGGAGGTTAAAAGTACTGTGGATATAATAAGTTAGAAATGAGAATGTTTCAGAATTAGTATGAAAATAAATCAAGAAACAATATGCGTGATAAGTTGGTAGGACACCTTCTCAGACATGCCGAGCTAGTTAGGGATATGTTGCAAGCAGATAAAAAAGTTAAGAGGGATAGAGGTAAATCTGAGTTAGACAATGTTAAAAAATAGAGTCATCTAGAGATGTTGGTAATTTGGAGAAATACAAAAATTTGCTTGAGATAGGAAGAAGTGAAAGTGTTTGCCCAATTAATTTTCAGTCTGAAGACCTTATGATGATAATATAATCAAAACCGTTCAAGAGATGCTTATCAGTAACAAAAAGAGATTCTTGTTTGAAACTTCTATACTTCTAGAAATTAAAGAGGTATGTTTACAGAAAATATTTTCCATTTTACCTAATGTGCATTATTTCTTCTTTATTTTAAATGAAATAACTTATTTTTTACAATTCCATAATTTTGTAATTCAGTATTCATGATGGTTAATTCAAGCTTTTGGATTTGCAAAATACAACTTAAGGGCCATTTTCACGTTTTATTTCACTATTTTGTATGATTTAATCAACAGAATGTAAAATGCTGATTGGATTATATCATGACGGTATTAGTTATATTTATCATTAGAAGTACCTTAACTGGAACCAAATGTAAAAAATAGTTGCTCACGGTGACTCCTAATTTTCATCGCTGCGTTCAAAATAGTCACATTAAGAATGTGTACATCAATCCCAACTTTTTCTCCCATGAATCCATGCATCTTTGAAAATCAACTTTCGTTCAGGACTTTCTGAAATTCTGTCTGAATCTATTCAGTAACATTAAAGCGGCTCTGGAAAATCGCAGGAGACAAGGCCAGGATATAGGGAGTATACAGAATAATTGTAATCTTTATGAAAGTTAGGAATTTTTGAACAAAAAGCCATATGTGGACGGGCACGTTATAATGGTGGAGAAACCAATATTTGCTTGTACATTTACCTAAAACTTTACGCGAAACGTTTTCACACAGATGCCATAATCCACAGTAAAAAACTGAGCATGGACTGTTTAATTTGGAGATAATAATTCGTTGTGAACATAAACCCTTAAAGTTAAAAAATCTATCAACATTGACTTGATATGGTACCTTGCAGACTTTTAGTGTTTATAATAGACTCATTTCAACTCAACCCTTTCCTTGAAAATTCGGCAACTAAGAATTAAAATCTCATCGCTTTAGTCTAAACGACTTTTTGTACGAGACTTAGTGTGATTTAGGACGTGGTGGGGGTTATTTTTAATGGAAAGCCCTCTAGAACAAGAACGTGAGCCTTTAAAAGGTTTGGGCATACATTGACGAGACGAGTCCGGGCCGTGTACTTTTCTCGTTCCGTAGACGACGAGGTGACACTGTATGTATGACTCTCTCGGGCGTTTATTACTCTTAACTCATTAATAAGTAGCATGCACTTTGGTATGTCCAAAAGTCCGAATATGTTTTCGATTTTCACAAATACACATTTAGCTGTTGTAAGTATATGTAAAAGGTTAAACTAAATCGGTCATGAAACAGATCAATAACAAAAAGCTCGCATAAATAGGTTTCAGAGGCACGTTTTAGAATCGATAAAAGGTCATCGATCGATATACTTTTGACGTGCTCGTTAGACCAAATAAGACCAAAATTGTCAATCCACATCTGGTTTTTTCAATAAATTACGGTCCAACAATTTAATGTGTTGTTATTAATTTGGTTGTCGATTGAGTTGGACAAGTAGATAGAGAAGTGCAGAAGTTAGCAGCAATATTAGGAGATGGTGACATACATACTGCCGTAACTTGAAAACTATAAAAGTCTTGATGACATTTCTCGATTTATCAGCTAGATAGATATGTCTAACAAGTTATTAAAGCGTTTTAGAAGTCAACTCGCCAGCTGGCAAAAGAACCAAGTAATATCGATCCTGCTGAAGTTCGAATTCTGTCACCATGTAAAATATGTTGTGCAAGTTGTCAAACCACTTTGTGAATTATCGAGAGTATTTAGTTTTAGTGCCGATAGGGAGTATCAAAACCGCTTGTAATGAAAAATAATTTCCATTCGTCTTTCTTTTTTTACTATTTTATACTTTGATAACATTCCTTATTAATGTTGCAGTCTTTTCAACAATTTAATATCTATTTATTTATTTATTCAGTTACACGTGTATAAAAACCCAATTACAAAAATATACATTTGTTTCATAAACTATAAAGCGCTAGGTAAAATATTATAAATTGAACAATATTAAGTCAACAGTTTAATATTTCTCAATAATTTAGCAAAAATATAACTAATAGATAAAGTTATCCTAAAGCACAGCATTGAAATAACCATTAGCACAGCAGTATCACTCAGTCAATCAAAATCTGTCACATTTGTTACCTTGCTCTTGAATGTGGACATGCTTAAGTCAGTGAAAGAAGTAACGGCATCTAATCCCAACTAAATAAACTCATCGGACAACCTATTTACTATTGATTTAAATTGGAAATCAGATGTAGAAATCATTGTTGAAAATTTGGTAAGTTGTCACTCTTAATTGTTCACTAGGTCTTTTCACTATGAAAGAGTTCCGCAGTTCAACAGATAATATTTTTTTGTCATAAGCTTAAATAAGAACAGCATATCACTATGTATTCTACAATTATGATCGTAGATGGTAGATTGAGTCCCAATAATTTAATTTAATTTATTCACCACCGCAAAATAATACAGAAAAATAATAAAAATAAATCATACATTTATACAAAATTATAGCGAGATTCATGGTTAAAATTATAAGAAAGTGAAGTAAGTTGCCAGCAAGGAGGCACTACACATGCCCGTACACTGACGTTGTGTAATTAAGAAACTTAAAATAGCTTAAAAACTAGATTGAAATTTGGTAGTAAGCATACATATCAATTTAAATTATTATGAAGCTTATATATAAAAAAAAAGAAAGGAATGTTAATTTGGAATGTTATATGTCTATAAATTTTTACACCAATTTTTTAGTTCACCGTTTAATGTTTTAAGCGAATCTGGTAAAGCATTAAATGTAGTAGTAGCTACATGTTTGTATCGGCATTTACCACTATTTAATTTGCAATTCGGTAATGAAATACTTTTGTTTCTAGTTACACTTTTACTGGTCAAATATTTTTCCTGTAATGGACTATATTCATAGGTTACACATTTAAATATGTAGTCTTGTTCTATTTTTAACGGTCTAATTTCAATTTTTACTTCTTCCAAATTTTTTTTAAAAATTATTTTAAGTAATCGCTTTTGTAAAGACTGTAGAGGACCCAGTACATTTTTATAAGCAGGTCCCCAGACCAAGATGCCGTAAGTTGCTGTGTTGTGGAAAAGAGCATAATAAACATTTAATAATTGACTAGTGTTTAGTAAATATCTAAGTCAATGAAAAACGTACAACAGGTATTTTGTTTTTTTTATAATGCTACTTATATGAATATCCCAACGTAATTTACTGTCTAACTTATGTCCTAGATAACCGATCTCAGTTTTCCTACTAATGTCAGTTCCATCAACTGTTACTAAAAGTCTAAGGGTACTGAGTCCTCATATTTACCAAAAGTCATGAAAGAAGTTTTTTTAATATTTGTTGCCAGTTTGTTCATATAGAACCAGTAAAATATTATTTCAAGTTTAGCTGTCATTACTTTATGCAAGTCAAACCAAGTGATTGAGCTACAAAGTATCGCTGTGTCGTCGGCAAAGCATGAAATTCCTTCTACCTGAGTAAGCAGAGAGTTTATGTATATTAGGAATAATAAGGGTCCAAGTATAGTACCTTGCGGCACTCCAATATTGACAATTTGATAGTCACTAGTAGTGCCATTTACTATTGTTTTTATGTGTCTGTTAAGCAGATAGTTTTTGAATAATTTCAGTGAAATTCCGCGTATTCCACATCCTTCCAGCTTACTCAGTAGTAATTTGTGATTGACACAATCAAAAGCCTTTCGTACATCTATAAAAGCAGCCGCACATGGTCGTGACATATCAAGTTTTTTGGAAATATATTCATTAAGTACAGCAAGAGCATCAGTGCAGCCTTTATTTTTTTGAAATCCATACTGGTTATCCGATATTAATTTATTTATAATTAAAAATTTGTATAGTCTATTGAATATTAGTTTCTCAAAAATTTTTGCAAAATTAGAAATCAGTGATATAGGTCTATAATTAGAGGTATCATGTTTGTCTCCTCCCTTGTGTACAGGCACAACATCTGCATATTTGAAGTGTTCAGGGAAATGTCCCATCTCTATACATTTATTAAATATCCTGCTTAGTGGATAAGCTAGATATCTTCCTAGCTTCTTAATAATACTAGCATGAATCCTATCAACTCCACCTATTTTATCCTTCAATGAATTAATTATATTAAGTATCTCTGTTTCATTGCACGGTTCTAAGAATATAGTTTTATTATACTGAATTTCTTTTTTTAGTTTTGGTTTTGTGATTGGTTCTTGTATACTGTTCACTGTCTCTAAACCTATGACACTAAAATATTTATTAAAAGCATTAGCAATTTCAAGTGAATTTTCAATTCTTTGATTACCAGTTGCATCGTATATATAA